TGTTCCATTATATAAAATTAATTGCACTTATAGAATTATTATTAAAATCAGAACCGACGGTTTCTCGGAACAAAGAAGGAAACGAGACTGGCTTTCTCAGTCCTTCTTGGAAAATGTTATTCTTCCAGCGCTTCGTCAGGCTTCCCACGGATTTTCTGGTTCAAAAATACGCAGTGAAGAAGGCGAGCATAAACAATTTTTTCTTTCTTCTCTTACCGTCTCCGTTCTTTCTTCTTCAACATTTTTTACAAGTCAGTATAAGGACAGTACTCAAGAATTTCTGAATTCCACGAATTAAGAATGTTTCATACATTAGAAAAAACAAAATCGTTCAGGGGTTTAAAAATCACGTTCTTGCATAAAAAAAATTGCATCTATTATTATTTGACGAACAGCAATATTACGTATATTCCTAAGAAAGGATAATTTCAGCTTTAAAAAATAAATAGACAGACACCTGCGTATTGCAACTTGTAACTTATTTAGTTCTCTGTGAATAGAAGTACGTACATATACACGCGTTTCAAATATGATGCTTATCCTTTAACGTTCGATTTAGAGTGTTTAATGCGTTTCGGGTTGCAACGCCAAGGCAAATAAATTTCGATGAAGACATTTTTGCTATCCACGGTCTCGGCCTTGGAAAGCTTGTTCCTGAACGTGAACGTGAATCCTATTTGCATTTGGAACGAAATGAATTATTGGAGATAAGTAACTAGTTAGACGCAAGCTTAAACAATTTCTGTCTGCGTTCCGTTGTTCTAAAAACACGCCACTGTTTCTACGATACTGTGCAAACAGTTACTATGCATTTATTGTATTATACTTCATTTGTTACAATTTACGAATTTCAGAAAATGAGATATGAATAACATTTTCTTTGATCATTTAATTATAATACTCTTTTGATAGTTTATTATATATGTTTTATATTTATTCACAAATGGATAAAATCCAGTGGAGTGACCCCTTAAAAATTTTTATCACAAAAAATTGCAATCTCACACAGACAGTTAATACTAAAATATTTTTCACGTTCGATGAACTTTCTTTATCATTAATTTAAAAAAATTGTCTGAAATTTATTATTACAATACGTCTCTCGATTGTCTTTTATTTTTAATTATAACTGGTCGTTAATCGAACTTAATCTACGATAGATCCAACTCTGTTGTTTATTGGAAAATCATAATAATCAGTGATGCAATGTTTTGTTACTGATAAAAGATAAGATGCTCTTATCGCAGACAATTGGAATCTGAATCTCGTCTTCTACGAATTGAATTCTACTGATTCATTGATAGCACGTATCATACTTTCTAGTGTAAAACGATCTTTTATCATTTGCATTGCTTCATAGATTCTTTTTATTATCTTGTTTCTTCTATCAGAGAATTAAACGAGAGACCTACTAACACAATTGTAAATGAAACGTGGGGAATGAGATGCAAGTACAGAGACAGTGAGAAATAACCGTGTAAAAATTATTTTAATGAACGTGGAACAACTATACTCGCGTTATCATAAAAATTTGCTGAGGAGGAGCGACTCGTGATTCCAATTTTTACCCGAGGGTATAAAATTCTGTATTTAGAAATGGGTTTACGTGAAAAATTCTTTTTTATTACGTCCACGGCCTTGTGTACATTGTATACAGGCGTGTTTCGAGGGTCTATACGCATATAAGTGCATATATGTATACGTGCGTGTATACATAGCGTGAGATCCCACGAATCTCGGTTTTAAGTGCCTGCGTCTGTTACTTCAAAGCCGTGGAATTAAGGATTAACAATCTGTAGCTCGCTCCGAATATGTATTCACGTAACAGTGGTAAAATTTGTTCCTGGGACATTAATTTCGGGGCCTAACAAGGCTGACGTTGAAGGATTTATGCGAAACGTGAAGGAAAAAATGAAAATTTTCAATTCGGAGCGCATGTGTTCACCTTGTAACGAAACGGAGTTAAATGGCTTAAATTAGCATCGTAAATGCGTGTTCTTTTCACGCGAAAAGTGTGCATTGAGAGATGATCGAAAGACCTCCAGAGTCGAATAAATTTTACACACTCAACGTGTTTCTTTATTATTAAAATCAATAATTCCTTTTTTGCGAATTAATCGTCGTGTAGAATTAGTACTAAAATGAATTATTTGATCATTCTATTAATAGACATATGCGAATTAAATTTTATCAACTCTTTTGAATAACAATCGAAAATCGAATTAGGTTCCAAGATCTAAACTGCGTTAACTGTTTATTTGGCTTGTGACAGTCATTCTTTGAATTTCTAGTAGAGATGTATTCTATGGAACTTCACCTCACCTACTAATCGATCGAACTACTAGAATTTCATTACTGTTGTGTACAAACATGCATTATGCGAAGTTTATACTTTAATTTCTTTAATTATTCAAACTACTAGAATTTCATTACTGTTGTGTACAAACATGCATTATGCAAAGTTTATACTTTAATTTCTTTAATTATTCAATTATTATAAGGATACTATAAATGCACAAGAATTATTACTGTGACAATCCGTATATTAAATTAACACTAAAAATCATTGGCATTGTTTTTGAANAGCAGTCAAAATGACTGCATTGTGAAAGAATAATGTGTAAAGAAATTTGTCTAAAATTAATTTTTAATATTTTTTATATTATTTACAGTCATATAACAAGTTATTAGTAAATGTTAACAATAAAAAAATTTACTTCACTTGGAAACAAAAAATAATTTATGCATTATTATTTGTACATTTGCCCAAAGTCAGTCAAAATGACTTTCTTGGGCAATCTAGTGTTAAATTGATATCAGAAATATTTGGGAGCATAGATCATCTGCAGTCTAATTATTATTCTGAAGTTCAAATATGAAATTGGCAAATGAAGGAAAGTATGCAATTAAATTGGGGCGGCCATACTTAGGATCTAAGCAATTCTTGGAAAGTGGCTTTTTCTTCGCACGGCGACCGTTTCCCATCCGTCAACCGAAATATTTTTAACCTAACAGTAACTAAACACAGTCCATCGACTCTCCTCGATTTTAGAGGCACACTTCCACTCTTCCTATTAGCCTCGTTATAATTAGATTCAGAGGATTCATAATTTTATCAATCCTATCAAACTTATCTTAAATTTAATAATTTGACGATTAATTCTCCTAATCTAGAAAAATTATATTCATCCTTTAGATAATTAAAGTTTTAATTCTGATAAATTGTTCTCGAGCATTAAAATTCGATCTAAACGCCTGAACGCAGTCTGCTAATAGTCGATCGAGATTTTATAGCTGTACTTAAAAATATTTTTAACCGCCTTATAACTGTTTTCTGTATTCTTTTATCTCTAAACATAGATTCCTCAGAGAACAGAATTAAGAAATTTAAACATCGCGAAATACAAAATTCGCATTGATACAATAAAAGATCACAAAAAACAATAATAGATACATCAGATAAATGGTAATTTAAAAATCTAGTTTCCTCTCGAGTTATAATAAATCCCGAATTCAGAAGATTGGAAAATGCAAATTCATTGATAGACTATAAGCAACGGGTTGAATATAAGAACGTGAGAATTTCGTTTCCTTTTCATCTGAAGACGTGTTATACGATGTTCGATGCGACGCTTGTTCCAGATTCGATTGATGGGATTTTTCTGAATCACGTTCGTAGGAGGAGGGAAGAGGACGGAAGCATTGCGAACGCAAATTGTGACGCTATTTCCTAGCTGGAGGCTACAGGGGACCAACGAAGCACGCCTACGTCTTCGGTTCGACTTGCAATCAGTCGACCTTCGACGACACGTTATCGAACGAGACCGTACGTTCATCGCTGATTATCTCAAGTCGGAGACTGTCGTTTAAGTACAATGTGACTCACGCGACTTTTTTTTTTTAAATGCCAAGTGCATTTTATGTATATATCTTTTGTTCTATACATAACTTTCTATCACTTTACCAGAAAAAGGAATAGTAATTTTCATGGACTGTGTCATTAAGATAAAAATGTCAGTGTCTATCGTTCGAAGGTGATGTCCGTTCACCTGATAAACTTCAATAATTCATATAACGTCAATGAGGATAAAAATTGTATATAACATAACAAATGTTTTCATACATATTGTCATTAATGAAATAAATGAAAAGGGATGATGATTTTAAGAAGTTAAAGGAGATGGCGTGAACGTATGCAAAATTGTTTAATTAGTGGTGGCTGGCCCAATTAAATTCTCACTTAACTCCATGCAATTTATACCCATTGCGTCGCGTTGCGTAGGTCCGAAATAAACCGGACTTCATAAACGTCTTGGTTAACAATTTTAAATGGATGAAGTCAGAGAGCTGCGGCTACTTGTCTGTTAGTACTGTTAACAGAGTCGCATCGTCGGCTAATCGAAAAAATTCTACTGGTATGTGTTCGCGTCACGGAAATCGGGTTCTGACCGGTGGGATTCGGTTATTTTCACTTTTTCCTTATCCTTTTCCACGCGGCAGTTGCAGCAATCGACTCCTCGATCATAGTCGAGTTGCATTAATGCATTTGTATACTCTTCTACAAAAGTTTACGATCATTATCTGATCGTAAACAACCTTCCAATCGTCTAATAAATTTATACTATAAATATGTATTGAGTATAATTAATTCTCGTATTCTTCAAATGTAGCAAACTTTTAGCTAGCAATATACGTGTTATTAAATGCAAATCGTTTCTGGTGAATTAGATCGATGATCTTGATTACAGCTTCATTTCCTTAATCACGGAATAAATTATGTTTGTGATCAAGAAATATAGATCGAACTTATGGAAAATATGATTTAATAAGAATGAGTATAGAAATATGTAAAGTAATGTATAGTGATTAATCAGGTTTTGCTACTTTTAGATTTAATGAGTAAACACTGTTTTAATTGATAATCATGAGGAATTATTCTCACTGTAGATCTAATGATGAATTATAGATGAGTTTTATTCACCTGTTCATACACAATTGTCCCGCTCCGATGAAACAAAAAAATGGATCGTTCACTATCGAATGTTGAACCAATGATAATCTGTCAACAGTGACAAGTGGTGGCGAATTGTCAACTCATAAATTTTCTTGCCACATGATATACTTCTCGTCTCGAACTTCAATTGTTCATGTGCTCACTACTACGAATGTAACGTCGTCCAATTAAAAACCAATTGCTTCCAATCGTTACCATTGGCCACTGGACGCATTAAGCGAACGCAGAAATATTGACTTCTATCATTTATGTTCAAACATTTTATTTGCAATTTATGTATCTAAAATATGTACTTAGAATTTCATAACGATCTTCAATAAGAAAATTAATGAATAAAATTATTATGTAAAAAAAAAACGTCTTTTTAATATTTTTGTTTAAACTTTATCTGAGGTTTTTCGAATTGTGTTATAATAATCTTTGTATCCATTTTCTAGTCTATTTGGGAACTACTTCTAATATGGCAATTAATGAAAGAGATTTTTGTATAAAAAATGTTTGTTCCTAATCGTAACAATTAAAATGATTTGTGGCCCCGTTTTATTAGAATTACGTAAACCGGGAATCGACAGAACTTTCGCGTTCGGTCGTTTAGTGTTTGCCGGACAATGTGAGATATGTCGTAAGACGATTATTTTTACCGGTTCAAACTGATACGTGCCAGTAGCATTATCGTATCAAAAATGTTTACACGCCTAATTTAAGGAATTTTAGGTGAAATAGCAGATTTTAGGCGCGTAATGTACAATAATAAAGTGTACTTTTATATAATGACGAAATTGTTTTTCTACGACGTTCATTTTGCCACAATTTAGATGCGCATCTTTGTTGTATTTATCCTTGTTGGCTTGTTAGAAAAATTGTGATATAATTACATAGACGCGTACTCATTGATGTAATTAGCCCGACGTGGACGTAATTATTTGGATAATTATTCGACAACATGTAACAATAAATAATCTGTGAACGTAATAGAAAGGATAATCACGTATTATGTAGTTTTGATCAAATTTATTTTCACTACCACGGCTCAGTTTGTTACCATACTAGACGTTTCTAATAAAATAACAAATCATCAGGTTATCAAATGTATTTACGAATAATGCCTCAATCTTCAACAATATTCTTTTATTATAATTATTAAGTTACAATTTACAAACATATTTTAATATTTCCCTTTTTGTATTAGAAAGTGTCATACGAATATTACACAACGTATTACAAGTTATCGTACATATGTATCCTGTTTACTGTTAGTGGATTTTAGAAAATGTGTATTGTAATCTCATAAAGATCCTGCAACATGCTAGCTGTAAATTAAAACGGGATATGTGTATATTTTTTTGAAACTCGCAACAGTTTTACGATTGCCATTCAAGATCGTAGAAACATTTCAATTATTATTGCCGATGATTCATAAACGTCTTCAGCTGCGAATTCAGCTCCCCCCCAAATAAATGATATTAGTTTCTAAGTAAGTAATGGGATAAAAATATGAGATTCCATTAACAAGTCCACCTAATTTCATAGAACCTGTCTTATAAATTCCACTGTTTCGGATATTTCGGATTTTTCTATAAATTGAGTACAGGCCAACTGTTTTCAGTAAAGTAAACGATACCGATGAGGTGAATGCACTTCTCTAAATAAAAATAGTAGTAAAATGAAACTGTTTAAATACTTTTCTTTTCATATGAATTCAAATTTTTAGTTGATTTTAGTATTAGTTGACAGGCTTCATTCGCTTCAGTTACAAAGTTGCAATTCTATCATTGTAGAAATTATTCATACTTAGGATTTAATTTTCTATCTTTTCTACGAGTGATAGGAAAAAGATTGGTAGAACTTCCTGGTTGAAATATATACGCTTTTCCTATTAGCTCCATTATGTATCTCTTAAAATATGATAATCACAATAATCAATTACAATCTAAGTCATTGCCAATAATAATGGGATCCTAATCATAAAATAAACTGTATTTTCTCATCTACACACGTCATAGATTAATTTCATGGACAACAGAGTTGAAAGTCTAATCTTAAAGTAAACGACCACACTTCATTCTTATGATTCTTTAATGGAATCAGTAAATATTATTTTATATCACAGTTCTCACTGATTCACTCCTTATATTTATTTTAACATCAACTTTTATAGCCACCATTAGACTGCAGATTTTTATACCAAATAAAATATCCGCATCAGTCTTTGTATTTTATTCATACTAAATTATACAAAATCCACAGTTCAGTTATTACGAATTCTATTAATATTGATGTTAACTCGAAATTCCTCTAAACGGGTAATAAGTATGTTTCAGAAAATCGAGTTGTCATGAGTGTAACGTTTTAATAAGCGGCCTGAAATTAACGTTTGGCAGCGGTTCAAGCTTCCGCGTTTCCGGCCTTCGCGTTAACAACCCAAGATTTTCCCGCGTATCCCACATTTTTCGCACGTTACATTGCTAATGGAATCCGTGCATATATACGTACACGTGGCTATGTATGGTACTATTTTCGGCGACAGGAAATTCGTATGACTATACCGGAAATTCTAGAGGTTTCTCAGAAATTATTAATCATCAAATATTCAATCACGTTCAACCGACAAATTGTTTTCGTCGGTGTTGATAGACAATTTCCACAATCTCATAAAACATAAAAAAATAATGTAAAATAGTTTACAATTTCTTAATGTACAAATTGTGCGTTTAGGTTGATGAAGAATATTATGATAGTAGTTCTAATAAAATCATCTGATGAATGAAATCATGTATATCTTGACAGATTTAAGTAATTAATTGACTAATGAGAAACATCTAGTTTACTTGAAATTTTCTTGTTTCCGAGAAGAAACTGAAGAAATCAAGATTGGTCCAGATTGGTCGATGACACGCGACCAATCCCGATCTTGAATCATTAATAATTGACTCGACTATTTCTGGAATTACTAGTATGTATAGTATTACTACCACTACGGTTGTTATGATACAATTTCGTAATGCAATGAGTGTTCACGTGATATTACCATTCGCGTTATTTTTAAACGTTTCATACTTATTACGTTCATTTCTGGTTCTGACCTCCCTTCACATCTTTATCATCCACTCCCATTTTGATTTCTTCTGCCCCAAAGGATCCATCGTTCCAATTTTTATTCAATATAATTGATAATACGATTGATCAAAATTAATGCATCGAAACACATAAAATTATTGTTATTATTTTTTGTTATTTATTTCCTATCGAATAAA